TTTCACATATCAATTCGTTTAATTTCTCACGCCCGGTGTTTTGCACAAAGGGAAAATAAGGGTTACTCCGCGGGCGCCTGTACCGGCCGCCTCCTTATTGTCAGGGCTAGCCTGTTGCGGCACTGCCCTTCCTCGAGGCGTGTGGCGTGGGGACACCGGTGCGTAGCGGTGGTTAAGAGATTCGCTCCGGCGGGTCTCGACCACTTCATCCTCCAGCTTTGCTCGGAGAGCTTCTGGTTGGTTGTCTTTCACCCGGTTCTTCTCAGCTCAGCACGAGTTTCGGCTCAGGTACTTTTCCCTGCTCCGTCCCGGAGGATAAAGGAAATAGCAGTGGTGAAAGGCCTCCTAACACGTCAAGACAGCAAACCACAGAAGTATGCACGGCAACATGCGACTGGTGCGGCGAAAGCCGTTGTGCCCGCAACAAGAGAAATCACACTACCCACAGTTGCGTGGAATGTATCCGTGACCACGCAGAAGCCAGCTGGAGAGAGTGGTATGATGTTGATGAAGGTGAAGAAGATGTTCAAGGACCCCAAGAAGAAGTGGTCAATAGCAACAACAGACCAGAAGAACTCACTGAAGAAGAGTGGGACCGAATGACTTTTGCTCAAAGACGAAGCACACTAGAAGTCATGGGTCGACAAGAGCTGGATGGAACAGCACGCTTAGTGTTCGAAGCGTTCGTTGCTGGATCCCAGCAGAGAGCTGAAGAACTGACCCCAGCATTAGTTCGGGACCTACAGGAAGAACAAGGAGAAGAAGATCAAGGTCTTGATACGTTGATTGAAGAAAGGTCAAGGTTTCGACGTCGAGTTCAAGCTGTAAGTGCTACAATGTCTCCAGGAACGCCAGATAGCACAGAGGCAAGGACCCAAGGGCCCTTGGGATTTGCAGATATGTAAGTGCGGTTTAACAAACAAGAGAAGCAATCGTGTGGGCGGAAATCGCCCAGGCACAGCGTGAGGGCGGAAATCGCACAGGAGCAAGCAAAGTTTCACAATGCATGAAAGAAGGGGCAGTAAGGCCTATCCTTTCGTGTGAGAAAGGAAAGCTATGCTGAAAGTGATTTCCAAAGGAAAGAGCGGAATTTCACGGAAAGGCGTTCGACGCCACTACAGCAAAAGCTACAATGCACGTCAAAGCACTACGAGCACAACGAAAGTGTTTCAAAAGAGGCAAATGGCCTAAGACCAAAGTTTCCAATTGCCGAAGAGCAAGTATGGACCTACATCGCGAAACGCGACGTGAAGAAAAAGTGAGTGCGCTTTAGATCCTGAGTGAGTCCCATGCCAATTGTGTGTGTGTGGAAATTCGCAAATCTGTTATAGGACATCTGAAGATTGAGGATGAAGACAAAAGGAAGAAAAGGTTAAAGATGTTCAAGAAGTGCTCAAAGAAGCGTGCGAGAAAAGAAGAACAAGCTCACAGGAGCATGCGAAAACAGTAGTAGAAGTAGGAAAAGTTTCACGAGGATCGCATTACACGACAAAGCTGTGTATGCGATGAGGGCGTAACAGATAGTTCAATTTTCCCTCATGCCCATTTACATACAGGAATCCAGTGTTTCACCGCAGGTCAAACGTAGGCTCAAGACAGCCCGACAGCGGAGCACGGAGTGAGAAAAGAATCCAAGCTCGCGCCGTGGTTATAAGAAGTATACTGGTATAAGGGTTTAACCTTTCAGATTCCCATCGCGTGGCATTCGAAGTTGGGCAGCAGCATCATCCCCTTTTGCGATCAAAATGAAGACGGTCCGAGTGAGTGCTGCAATTTGATATGAATTTGACAAATATTCAATGTCCCATATATCAATTGGGAAATATCGACTGGATTGCGAAGTGAAGCTAGTCACGACTTTTGCGATGCAGTTACGTCGTATGTGTGTTTGCATGTTGTATGTAAGGTGGTGGTGTTTTGGGTTCAGGAGTAAGCCAACAAGACAAGGAGGCCTGGCGCCTATGTGTGAATCCGCTGCTCACCATAAGTGCGGCGCTGGCTGAGTTGTGTGAGCCACTGCAGCACCTTGCCGATGATAAAGCCTATGACCTCTCATGGCGGGAACTGGCCAGACCGCAAGTATGGTGGTGGCTCCTCGTGGACGAATTCGCGGCCCAATTGCAGCATGCAGCACAGGCGAGCCTGACTTCTACCCTGGCCAGGGATGGTAGCTTCCTTGTGATGGCCCTTGGAGGGCCAGGGCGACGCATGTCGCCTTTGCAGTACTGCAGTGCCCTCATGCCGATACAGGTCCTCCTGTATGCGCTACGCTGCCTTGTCGATAATCCGCAGTCCTACCCACACCTGCAGGTTGTGGAGGTCTTCCGGGATACGGATGAGCAGGCAGTCGAGGAGGGCCGGGACAATCATATCGGTGTACGTATTGCTGTGACGTTTACAGCCAACGAGCTCTGCCCCCTGCAGTGGCAAGTTGGAGCACGCCTCAGGCGTGCTTGGGACGAGGGGGTGATCGCCCTACATCATCCGCAGATACAGCCGGGAAATTTCACACATCCTGCTCAGTACAAGTTTCGTGTTTTTGTTCACGTATGTTTTAGAAGGCATGTGAATCTGTAGCACATCGCAGCACTGGCTCTAGCACTTGAGTTTTCTCGAAAAGCGAGATTAGCCGTAGCTACTGCCCTGTAGCCTGCCTGTCTCTGCCTTAGAGAAGCTATGTTGCCGGCACATGTTGTTGTGCCTCTCACCATGTTCCAGTGGGAGCTTGACCAAGCCCCGCCTTCGCCCAGGCCTTCGCCTTTGCCTCCGCGGTGGATTCGTCCCCCGGACTTTGCCTTTGCCCCAGCCAGACTAGCCTTGCATGACTGGGACTGGTATGTTATTACGTTCCGGGAATGTTTCGCCCTGCAGCCGCATGAGGGCCAGCCTTTAGAGCCGTGCCTCCAGGAATGCCTCTTTTCCTGGACCGTCTGCCCTCGCATTCTCATTTGCCTTGAAGTTCATGAATGGCTGCCCTTGGTTCTAGCCAATGATGAGTGCCATCAGCTTATGGTTGAAATGCTATTTTGACCCCTCTCGCCTCTCAGGTAGCCGCCGGGGACTCAGCCATGGAGCCTTCACAGCCCGACCCATTTTTCCTTCCCTTGCGGATTTTGCCGTACCAGTGGCACTGGCCAGGCCTCCTAGATGCCTTGCCTCTTCCAGGTTGCATGGGACAGCCTAACCGCCCTTGCCTGCAGGACCTGTTTGTCTTTTAATTCTTTCTCTTTATTCTATTTCTTGATATCTTATGTATCGTATTCTGATGCTTCGCTTTGTTCGTTGTACTGCCTATCTTCTTCCCGCATCTTTCGCCTTCAAAGCATCCGTTTTTTCTTGTAATAATCCTTAAAATATCCTTCTTCTATGTATCTAGGGTTCAACCTGTGATTTGTTGCGTTGTTCTTCATTCTGTTAAAGTCATGGTTTTTGTGCCATTTATAGAGTTCACATCATCTCAAACAGGTCATCGCCCGTTCGGCTTTCTCTCCGTTCCCTGACACAAGGTAGGAATCCTTATCTTAATTACAAATGCGAATATGTCTTTAAGTAGAATTGCGTGTTTAACGGATTAAATTTTAAAGGCAACATCTCGTCTCACTTTTTCATTGGATGTCCCTTTGGTGGCGTGCTTGACCGTGACCTGCCCACTCCTCTTCTTTCTAATAGCGTCATTGCTTCCGCATGCTTGTTCTTCATCTCTGCATTTGCTTCGTTCTTTTTCGCGATTATTACTTCTGCTTCTGCTTGCCCCTCTTCTCATGATTCTCTTGTGCTGTCGCTTCTTCTTCGCTTGTTTCTCATCAATCAAAGTCTATTTCCGTTCTGATTCCGTTGTAGGCGAGTGTTCAGTTTTCCTCCATAATATGCCGTCTTTATTCCTAAACTTATTCCCATTCCTAATGCTTCCTTCGCTATTCTTGACGCGGTGAATCCTTCTTCTTGATCTCCATCATCTTCTCCATTTGCTGGTGGTTCTCTTCTCTACGCGGAAAGTTCCGCCAGCTTCAGCTGCATGGACACACGTCCTCCAACTAAAACATGCCCACGTAAATGTACTTGCATGTTCGCATGTTCAGACCTTTATCGCCACTCGTTCCGGAAAGCCAATCAGTTCAACAAGCCTCTCAAGACAAACAAGACAGCTCAACCCGTTTTGCAATCGTTGAGGTGTGTAAGTCTTGGACAATCATTGAACAAAACTTCTTTGACCAATTGCTCGTGAATGCCTCATAGCAACAACAGAGCTTTGAGAGGAGTTGGAATGAGGACAGACTCGGACAGATTGTGCGGCCTGTCTTGTGATTGCTTTAGTTGAACAGATTTTGGATTGTGGAAAGCTGACTCGAACGGAAGTATCCGGAGAGTCCCGCTGTTTGGCACAGTCGTGGCACAGGCATGCCCACATAAACACGCTTGCATTGCTTGAGCCGAGGATCCGGTTTGGCTTAGAAATCCCTCTGTGCCATCCAAAGTTTCCTTTTTACAGTTCATATCATTCCATGTATCTGCGATTGACCTTTGTCAACCTGGCCGTTGCCGCGTCAATCTTCAACCAGGCAGGGTTCTCGTGCGTAGGTTGCTTAGCGACGGCCTACTGACCCAGTGGTTGTCAGCAGTGGAAGGATGCCGAATACCTTAGCATTGCAGGCGAACCAAAGCACTTGTCTGGAGTTTGAGGACCGGGTCTCTGGCATGTCCGGTGTTTCGCAAAAGTGTCATTGGCCTTTGCCAAAACAGTGCCGCCATTGCAAGCAAACTTGGCATATGTAACCCTGCATAGCAACTCAGCCGATGCTATCAGGACGCGTCAGGAGTCGTGCAGCTCTTGCAAACAGGCGCGAAACTGCCAGGGGTCAGCAGCCGAATACTGGTCTCTAAACCCCGAACTTTCAGCACGCTGCGTTGCAGATAGCCGAGCGGTGCGTCAACAGCGCATCTATGAGGGAGGCAAGGGCAAGCAGCAGGCCCCAAGCCGAAACACAGTGTTCACGAGTGCAATGGCTTGCAAGCTTCGCTTTAGCAAGCCGCAGGATCCGCAGCTCCCGGCCGCGTTGCTTCCTTTGCTGTCTCAGCTGTGGTTGCCTTTCCTCGTGGCTCGGGATGCAAGCAGCCGGGAACCCACAGCACATCCCAGCACATCCCAACCATCTCACCCGTCCCAGGTTGGTATGGTGCTCTTCGTGTTGAAGGTTTCAATAACCTCGAGCACCGGACCTTCCAAAACACAGGTTCCAGCACTCACTGGCCTTCGCTTCGTGACGGCTTTCTGGATCTTCGCTGAGCACTCATCAATGCAACCGCTTACAGGCGGTGGGACCTTCCTGGTCCTTTCAGGTTGCATCTTGAGCATGTCGCGCATCAGGGCAGGGACCGATGCCATTGACTTTTTGGTCAGCTCTCCAAGGACGGCCGGCCGTTTCCTGCTGATGCGAGCAGCCAGGATATATCCCCTCTACTTTGTTGTCCTGAGTCTGAGAGATGTTTGGAATGCCGTGCCAAAGCCTGTGACAGCTTATTCCTTGCTGCTAGAACCGCTCCATGTCATCCGGCATTGCATCAGCACCTTCGCCTCGTTGGCCGTTGAAAGTCCTCGGGAAGTATTGCTGCTCAATGGGATACCTGGAACAATGTCGACGTACTGGTTCATGCACACAGCAGCTAATTTCGGTTTGGCATGCTTTTGCTTTCAACAAGGATGCTTTGCCCATGCAAGGAGCAGGACCCGCAACAGCTTAAATTGACTGTGACGCTTGCGAGGTCATGTTTCTCTACGTGCTGTATCCGCTCCTTGAGTACTGCTTGCTGAGACCAGCAATTTCCGGCCCGAGGCTCCTGCTGGTGGGCGCTGTTTGCTGTCTGGCAAAGCTGTTGATCGTGGGCTGGGCAACTTGCATTCTGGCCAAAGGCGGCTTTGAGGCGGCATCCCCACCCACTTTTAATGGAAACATACAAGATGGAACCCTAAACCCAGAGAGTTTAGGGGGGTCCTCAAGCTGGGGATCCCCTAAAGCCGAACGGGAGTAAGGTGCAACCTTGCAGGGCAGGTTATGACGACTGTGTTTTGCTTAACACGCGAACATCTGCAGGTTGGGGATTTCTGGTATCGGCATGACTTGGTCTTCTTCGGTCGTGTGCCGTGGTACAGCTTTGCGCCGTTCCGCGTGCCGGACTTCGCTTTGGGTATGCTCGTCCCTCACGTTGCCAAGTACTTTTCGCCTGGCAGTGTGGCAGTGAAAGTGGCAGACCTGCTCCTGATGCTGTATGTGATCCTTGCACTCGTGCCGAAGAACACTTATGTTTACCTATGGACGGATCTAGACTTGCAATGCCCCCTCATGGCTTTCGTGATGTGGAGTTTGTGCTTCGGCCATTGTGAAAGCGTGTTGGGACAGTTGCTTGCAAACAAGTGGTTGGTGGAGTTTGGCACAGTGGCTTACGGGATTTATGTCTTTCAAGAGCCGCTGATGACAGTGATGGGAGTGTACTACCCGGGTGATGCGGCCGGGCTTCCCGGCACGTGCCGGTTGAGCAACACTTGCTTCCCGTGGTTTCAATACACATGGAGGGGCAGTTCCAGCCTATGTTTGACGTTTTTGCTGCTCCTCGTAATGGCAATCTGTGGCTTCCATCTGGTTGAGGAGCCGGCAAGGAAAGCTGCGTATTCGTTATGCCTTTCACGAGAGTTTTGTTTGAGATGGCTTCAAGCTTCGGATGTCGTCCGTAGTTTTGTCCAGATGATCACGTATGCCTGGCCTATTCCACTCTCTATCAGCTTGGTGAAGATTTGGGGACTCGGACCATTAGCTAGTGGCTTCTTTCTGTCCTTCGACCAGATGCTGTGGTGTTCTTTGAGCAGACTGTTTGCTTGTATTTTGTTTGCTATGCACTTATACTGCACTTTCGTGTCCTGTGTTGACCCTTCTGAACACCAAGTCTTGCAGACTTGACATTTACCTCTGATCCCATCGAAGCCCGTGGCTTAGAGAAAAGACTTGGTTTGTTCACACAGCGAAACACTGCTTCAGGATTGGGAACGTCATGGGCATGGCATTGGGGCAGAGCCTCCGCGGAGTTTCGTGGGAGCTGAAGCGGACACCTGGAAGGGGTTGGGAGTTGGGACTTGCACTTTGAAGTTTAGGCGTACGGTTGAACGAAGACTTTTCTTCGTTGGAGGGAACAACATAATGTGCAATGGCCAGCTGAGGACATGCATCGTCCTTTGCCCTTTGTCTGCGGCGGGTTTCTCGCTGGTGTTAAGCTACGTCGTCTTGGTATCCTCATCCGATGCATTTGCTGGTGCCTGCTTGCTGCGGCTTGTGATCGGGCTTCTTCAGGGGCTTGCGCTAGCAAGCAGCGTTGTCACCAGGCAGCTCACGCCCGCGGATGAGCAGGTGAGCCTTTCCATGTGGGTCAATCTGGCCTGGACAGGTGGTGTTGCTGTCGGTGGAGGGTTAGCCTGGGCAGGGAGTGAGGTGAGTGGGACTCCCAGTGCACAGGCCGTTGCCTCCGTTGGTCCAGCAGCTGTTGAAGCTTCCAAATGCTGTGCCATCTGCAGTGTCCTTTTGCTGATTACAGCCTGCCTATTGGCTTGTAGCTTGCCATCAGCTCATCAGGGTCCGGAACAAAAAGAGCAGGCGGTGGAAGACGAAGTGGTGACCAGGTCGAATCGGTGGAAGAATTCTTCTTCGGTTGCTATGTGGGGAGTTCTTTGCATTTTCATCGCTGCCATCGAGTACTCGGGCGTGGAAGTTGCAACTTCTATGCTGCTGGAAACACAGTTCGCCTGGCCTGTAGATTCCATCAGCGCCGGTGTGGATGTAGTTTTTGCGTTGGCAGCCGTCGGCAGTTTGGTACTTTTGCCCCTACGCAGCAGTGGCTTGCTAAGTGATCGGTGGATGCTTTATGGAATGGGCTTGATTGCCCTGGTTGCCAGCTTTGCCTTCTTTGACTTCACGAGGGGTCCGTTGGCTCTTCTCACAGCCGATGTTGTGATTTACACATGCGTGCTCTGCGCTGTGGGAATTGCTGAGGGATTAACCTTCCTCCGGGTTACACCCAGCGGCTTGCAAGCCACACAGGACCTCGTCTTCAACATGTGGCTGGGATGCATTTCCAATACGGTTGCTCGGTGCTACCACTACCTGCCCACAATATCTCGATAGTCAATAGTTTTTGCTTGTAAAGCAATGAAGTCCTAGAAGCATCTTCGACACTTTGATCATGCTGAGCACTTTGAGCTTGAGAACGCGAATCCTTTAACAAACACCGGTAATCTTGACGAAGAGACGCCCGAAGGTACATGGCCGATTCTCTAGGGAAAGCCGCAGCGCCACCGATTGCTCGATGGATTCTTGGCTCCCGCGGCCGGAACATGTACGCCTTGTACCTCGGTGATTCTATAGCAAGTTTGCTGTTTCCACTTCGTAGAGACTGCCTGGCCAGACAGAAATTTCAAGATGCCTGCAGACTCCGACTGGACTGAGGTACCAGGTCACACTGCTATTGCTGAATGGTTTCGCAACCTTGACAATAGTGTAAAATTCGATGTATTCTTTCACCCCAGCCCCCCCCCCCCCCCCCCCCCCCCCCCCCCCCGCCCCGACGAACGTCAACGCCATCCGCGGAGTACCCATATCGAGCTTCGACTGGACCGAGGCAACATGCTCTGGTTTTCACGACCTTGAAAACAAGGTAAATTGTATGACCCAGCCTCCGACGAAAATCCCCGCCATCCGGGGTTTGTCCACACGGAGCCGTCGAGCTCCGCTGACGCCATCTCCTGGAAAGAACAACGAGCATGCCTGTCGGTCGTCAAAGTCGCTTGCGTTCTCCAGGACTTGCAGACATGAGGGGAAGAGACTTGATTGCTACGCTCCGGCCCAAGTTGAGGTGTAGACATTGTTTTTATGACATGGTCTTAGAGCTTCACATTGATAAGGATTATTAAGGATTCGAAGGTAGGCTTACCCATTGGCATGCGCTAGCTTGTGCCAGTCTGCGCAAATCCCAATGTGGCTTGCCTCACTTCTACATATCTTTGCGATCGTTGCACGTCTGTTGCTGAGAACTTGCCGTTCTCAGAGCCATGCAGATGCAGCAGCACCCGGGCTTGGCCAGGCTGTGTGAAGCGAAGGACCTCACGTTATTTCGCAGTGGGCCAGTGATGTTTCCGAATTTGAGCATGAATGCCCTGCAAGGAGACACCGCATCTTCGCCCCTTGTGCGTGCCGTACAGTGGCGGTGGTGCCAGACGCAAGCCATCTAAAGCGTCTTGTGGATTGAACTGTAACTGTAATCGCCGCCGCGACCGCTGCCGTAGCCGCCGCCGTAGCCGCGGCCGTAGCCGCCGCTGTAGCCGCCTCCGGTGCTATTGTCAGGGCATGTGGGTTTCAACGCCAAACTGGCATGAGCGTGCCACAGGGCGTGTGTGCGGATGGACAGGCATGTCAAGAGCTAACGGCACACGAGTACGAATAATTGCAGGACCTGTTGAGTTCGAGCGTTCGATGTGCCGCCATCGTTGTACTTGTCACGGCGATGTTCTTGCCCGCATCCTCAAGGGCAGCGCCCTGACTGTGCAGATGGGAGAGTAGAAAATCAACCACCGGTAGAAGGTCTAGGAGAGTACGCTGGACAGGCAAGGGTAGAGCCACCTGCGCAGCAACTGCGCCGTCCATGCAGTTTTGTCTGGTTCTCAAAAGATTCCCAACGCTCAAACTATTGAGAGCGTCGCCACTTCGTTCTACCTTGTCGCACGTGCGGGTGGAAGCATAGCTTGAATTTCCGAGAAGTTTTCGGCATGTCTTTGTCGGATCGATCTTTTCCATGTATGTTTGTTACCGTATGAACCGTGATTTTGGACATGCAGGTGGGCGAGGGCGAGACGCTGTTGAGACTGGTGTGGAGTGACAGACACTCTGAGGGATGGGCGGTACTTGTCGTTACCCGAGCATGCTGCTTAAGTGTGTAAATGTTTCCGAACGAGCAGCACAGCATTGGTCCGTGATACACTCACTCGTCATTCTGGCTCAAGTCAAAGTTAACCGGCTGGGAGGAACATATGTCGTTGTCATCGGGGACTGAGGCAGGTTTGCCCAAGTTTGCAGTCCTCCAATCCTGTGCAAAAGTAGCAGTCTGTAAGTCTTTTTATGGCTGTCGGCTCTCGAAAGGGATTCAGTGTGCACTGATTTTATCCTGAGCCGGAAACATACAGAGGGTCTTGTTTGCAACAGTGTAGAGTGCTCTGGCAGGAGATGTGTTCAAGCTGTTGTGTCTCCTATGTTTGCGCCCATCTTGGAAAGGCTTGTGGCTTCGGTCTCCCACGGTGGTTGCAAACTGTGTCAATTCAAAATCCTCAAGTACCGAACCAGTGCAACTTGCAAGCTGCTGCTCACTAAGTGGACGGACTTTAACATGGCTTGTAGGGCGACTACAGTCTCAGTCTCGGAACCATCAGCTTCTGCATGTCGTAGACGGGGAATGCAGATTGCTTTATCTGTCCTTGGCCGCAAAGTCGGCCTTACTTCCGCATAGCCAGGGATGTTTGGCGGCGAGTCGCAAAGGCCCAGGCTTGTGACTGGGAGGATTGAGGGCCCTAATATATACTGTATGCATCTTCCCGACACCTGACACACGTGGATGTGCCGAGTCATGAGTTGCAAGTAGGGGATTTCCATTCCGCGATACGTCGTGTACTATGAGGCACATTTCTCTTCGGCATAAGCATGCCCCATTGCACATTCGCAAAGCGCAGAAAGATTGTGGTTTGAAGGATGTTGCCTAGGGTTGAGATCTTCAAGGCGGAGCAACTTGTCTCCAGCTGCGGGAAGATTGAATTCCAAGCTGTTCAGTTCTCCATCACCAGTGTTCACTTCTTCAGCTGTGGTTTGTGAAGGGTTCCAGTGGCCACCTGACCCGTTTCAATGTTTGGCCCCTTGCCTATCGAGCGAAAGGGCCACGAGAGCGGAGCTCTTAGTCTACACAGCCAGCAACCAGTTGCCGACAGGCGGCAGCCGCACTATGCCCAGACAACCCAAGCGAATGGAGACGCTTTGCTGAATCATCTTGATGACAAACTTCAGGTATGGAGCATCGCCAGGACTTGGGATTTTGCAGTGGAGGTTGATGGCTACAGGACGTGTGAGGTTTGACGAGATGAGAGTTGCCTCGAGGCTAAGGCTTTGTCAAGCTGGTCAGCGTGGAGTTAGAACATCATGCTTAGGGATGATTTTGTGGGAAGCACTGCTTTAGTTCTTCGCTTGTTTGTTGTAGTTGCGTGCTACGTCCGACATGACTTGCCATTGCCGCTCGTGGACGGACAACTAACTGACAAACGGAATCTGAAACAACCATGTTGGCGACGATCCTTCTTTGGGCCCGTCTCAGGCCAATGAGTTCTCCAACCACGAGCAGGACATCATTAGACAGTCCTTCAGCAGGGAGCCTGGAGTGTTTGAAAAAGAGCATTCCACGTCCCCTCGCGCTGGACAGCCTAGGGCTTAGTCCAGTTGCCAGGCACTGGGAACCATACTTGGATGAAAGAGTCCCTCCCAGTGGAACTTGGGTCCGTGCCCGAGAACGTCAAGCGTTGCAGGCTCAAGGCACAAGGCTCACACAACCTCACTTCACAGGCTACTTGGAGGCGACTCTTCTTACTCTTGCGGCGTAAGATGCCTGCAAAGTAGGAAATTAGTTTGAAGAAATCATGTCCACCACTCCTGATCGTCCGGAGGATCTATGACCCGAAGCTAGCCAAGCCCCACCCGAAGTTTCCGAGCTGTTGAGGCCCGATGCCATCCATTTGCTCCGGCGCCAGAAAATGGAGCGAAATCGCTTGGCCGAGCCGGTGCCGCAGACCTGGCGACTCGGCGACGTTTTGGAGCCGTGCCGTTGGATCGGTTTGCTGCATTCGAGCTTTTGGGAGTGGGACGTGCGGATGAGTGCGAAACCCATTCAAAAAAACACGGTCAGGTCAAAGATGACACAGCTGTGGGGAGGTGGCTACTACCAGGCCACTGCCTGAGACCGTTCGCTTGCCTCAAGGCTTGGAGCAAGGCCGTTGTGGAGAGTTTCCATGTGATCTCAGAGCATCGGACCTTGTCCCTAAGTTTAAGTCTGCAGGAGTTTGAGTACATGCCGGAAGAGTACAAGGACCTTTTGAGCGGCGGTTGAGTCCATATTTCCCGCGGTTCCGGAATGCAGTGGTGCCTCGCTGACCCGCGCAGGACAAGAGGGGCCTGCTCCCGAGGCCACTGTGTTTGGTGCCATCTTCCCGTCATTCCGGAACAGCTTCGTCTCAGGTTGTTGGGATGTCGGCGTGCTTCGATTTTAGGTGTTTGAAGCTTGCACCATGAGCTGTCACTTGGGCCTGGATATGGGTTGATGGATTCATCCATGAGGGGCCCAAAGCTGGCCGTGGATGTTTTGAGTCTGGAGGACTCTTTTGGAACTCTGGACTTTAGTGTTGAGAGGGTTGACCTGTCGAAGCCCGCCCCCTGGCACTTGGATGCAGGCAAGCGGATCCAGACAAGCGGTCCAAGATCGCAAACCACGACTGGCGCCACAACTCTCAGGATGGGGTGAAGCCTGAATCTTCCTCCCCCAACCGAACAAGCCCAGAAGCCTCCACGATGCCAGGAGAAGAGGCTCAAGCACGAGCCCATGCTCAACAACCTCAGTGCTGACAAGGAGTCAGGCCGCCACGTTTGCAGGATCTTCATCGAAGGCCGTGTCGTTGGCCTGGGCCCCCCTTCAATGCCCTCCGTGGCTCCCGCTATGTGAGGGGCCCTTCAGGAAGTACTTTGAGCGGTCTTTAGGCCGAGTTTCAGGCATTCCCCCTCTACTCATGGCTTGTGATGAGATGCCAGTGCCGCTGCTCCCGTTCATGGCAGGCAGTACCCATACCTGGGTGGCGACAAGGACGCTGAGCTCGAGGCCAATGGGTCGGGGAAGGGTATCGTGGTTGTAGGACACCGATGCGATGATGACCACTGTGCAGTGACTATGCGGATGAATGCTGATGATATCTGTTGATGGTGATGAGGAGCTGGATGATGTCGCTGCCGTCGCTGCCTTCGCTCTGAACGTAGTTTGCGATTCAAGCTTGAATGGTGATACAATTGGGTTGAACTGGGAAGGCAACGAAGCTGTTTCTTCGCTCGGTGGCCGTCGGCGCCAAGACGACACTGAACAAGCCTGGCGCCCTGCTGGTGGCGGCAGAACAGGAAGAAAGTTGAGCCACGTGGTACACCAGTCCCGATCAGCAAGAGAGCCCTCAACCGCACACCGGAGCCCTGAACCACTGACAGCGAGTCCACATTCTGGCAAAGTGTGGGGAAAACCTTCAATCCCAATCCGCCAGGCCCTGCACGGCAGAAGCCCAGATTCACCCCTAGGACACTGCGCGCCCAGGTCGCAGGAGAAGTTTCTCCAGTCGAAGCAGTCCGCCAACATGTCCGCCTGGATGCAGGACCTGAAGTTTGACCAATCCCCTGTGCTCAGGGATTGTCATAGGGCCAAGGACTTGTACTTGACGTTCT